GCTACCAATCTTCATATTTTTAGATTCAAACTTCGTTTCAACAGTCCTTGCAACTTTCTACCTATCTCCTCTGTTCAAAAGTCCAGTTAGCTACACAGTAAGTTTAACCAGCTAACTGGTTTAGTAAATAACAGGAATATCCATCATTTGTGGTCTGCTAAATGTGCAAAACACTTAGGATTTAAATCAACCCTGCCCTCAGGGTCACAGCTACATAGGCAGAGTTGGAATCTAAACCAACATTCATGCTCTTTCCTTGCTGTAGCACTAGCTCCCAGTATCAATTAGAATTCCCAATGTTTACTCCATGAAAAGACAGGATTGTCAGTTTTTTGAAGAATCATGCAAGATTTCTAAGCTGGACTTAAAAAAAGCTAACATATGTAGCTTTAAAAATAAAAGATACAATTAAAGAGCTAAAATGAGATGCTAAAAACTCATTAAACTTTCAAACAAACATTAAGGTAAGACTAATCTGAGGGCCAAGAGCAACACCGGAAAGGGCTCATATCTACTTTATTATAGGCTTCAATCTCTTTGTTCAAGTCAAGGCCGTTCAAAAATAACTTTTGTTGGGATTCAGGGAAAACAAATAAACTAACCAGTACAGAAAAAACTTACATTACAAAGAAATAATCAGAATTAAAAAAAAAAAAAATTCAACTAGCCTACATTCTTCTGGAAATGACTTGTTCTACTGAGGCCATCAGTCATTTTCATCTCAACTGTACATATTAGAAACAAATAACTGGGACCAGCAGTTAGCGTAATGGGTATGTCACTGAACTCCCATGTAGTCGACTGTGGTTCGAGTCCCAGACCCGGTGGCTTAAACTCACACCGGGTTCGTGTGCGTGCGTGCCCAAGATAAGAATGGAGGAGAAGGGACTGTGGCGTGGCCATCCCCCCCAGGGGGGTGATTTCTCGCTTTCTGTCTCTTTGTCTCTCTCTGTCTTTCTGGCAAGCGCACACACCCTATAGCAAAAAACTCTCCAAAAAAAAAAAAAAAAGAAACAAACAAATAACTATGCTATTAGAAGACTTTTCTTAGTAGAGAAAGCAGTACCATGAGTAGTTTTCAATATGTATAAGCATTTTTAGTCTATTTTTTTCCTTCTTAAGAATTCCCCTTAGAGGGACAAGAGATAGTGTAACGGTTATGTTGCTGGACTCCCAGATCCCATGTCTTAAAACCCATGCCAAATGTGTGTGCATGCATGCCCAAAATCCCAGGAGGAGAATGGAGAAGGGACTGCAGTGTGGCCACCCCCCACTTGGGGGGTGATTTCTTGCTTTCTGTATCTCTGTCTCTCCAGTGAGGACAGGCACCCTACGGCAAAAAATACTCTCAAAAAAAGAATTCCCTTTCGAAAAATTTCCTCAAAATCTAGCTCCAAATGTTAGTTTCTCCATCATAACGCACAGATGACTGCTACGCCTATAGCCAAAGAGAGCTTGAGGTGGTTCTAAAGCTTCAAAGTTGCTATTAAATAGGTATAATTGCCTGCTCCCTAATGAGTGTAAATTTGCCTCTCCTTTGAAAAATGTAGGCTCCAAAAACCTTAAAAGTAACCTTACAAGGAATTTTTAATTTATTTTCTAAGTCATCCTCATTTAGAGGAAAACTGCATCGTTTGATGGCATTGAAAGAGCTGGTAGCACACCAGAGTGTGGTGACTTACAATACTCCCTACTCATGTAGATACATTCATCGCCTCCTCCAGCAATATGGGAAATCTCAAAATCTACAGAAAAAAGGGCATGATAAACAAAAATGAATAATGGTCATGATCAAGTTTCCATTAGATAAAGAACGTAGGATTGTGTGCCACAAAGTAACCGACGAACTTTCTCCTTAGTAGGAAGCAAGTACTAGAACAACTAGATTTTGCACAAGCTAGCTTCCTGAAGCACAGCAGCAATATTCTTCTACAGGCCAGAATGAGTGTATGCCCCCATAAGTTACATCTGTCTTGAAAAATAGCTAAATCCCTGTTCAAACACATTTTCTTTAATAGGATGCACATAAACATTTTTTAAAAAATAAAGATTAAATGGAGACCAGCAGTTGGCGTAATGACTATGTCGCTGAACTCCCACGTAGTCGGCCCTGGTTTGAGGCTCGGACCCAGTGGCTTAAACTCACACTGGGCGCGTGTGCATGTGTGCCCAAGATCCCAAGAGGAGAAGTGACTGTGGTGTGGCCAGCCCCCTGGAAGGAGATTTCTTGCCTTCTGTCTCTCTGTCAAGCGCATGCGCCCTATAGCAAAAACCTCTCCCTGCCCCGGCAAAAAAATTAACAATAATAAAGATTAAATGGTATTCACATAAATAATATACATTTGTTGTTCTATAAGTAGAAATCTACCATTCCTTAGAGTCGGACCACCTGGGTTTGAGTCCTAGTTGCAGCACTTACCTTGTCCTATATATGTGGCCTTGGAACAAATTCTTCTCTGGGCCTCAGGCTCCTCATCTGTAAAATGGGACTAACAGTACTTACACACCGCTTACCGGTTGTTGAGAAAGCCGAGTTAACATGTACAAAGTGCTTAGAACAAAGCTTGGCACATAGCACGTGCTGAAAGAGGTAGCTATTGTAACTACAGACTAATTGCCTGATGCTATCTCCCCTGTTGGTGATAAATGTCCACGCTACATAGCTATGTCCAATCTGTGTGTGGACATTCAGGACACGGTAAAAGAAACCATTTATTAAAACCCTGTCTTATCCCAGATGCTTATGTCAATTACTGAATTTGTCAAAACCCATCAAAGGCTGCACTACCATTTACACTATACAGATGAAAAAAATGACTGAAAGAGATTTGCTATGTGCAAAATAAAGTTCTATAATCATGCATCATGTGTACTGCAACATGTGTACTGAAAAAAAGGTTGGTCCCATCCATATGTAACTGGAGGGAAAAAAGGCATTAACAGTGAACTGGCTGATTAAAAAATGAACAAACCCAAAAGCTTATATTTAACTATTTTGTTTGTAAAAAGACTTCATGACAACTCTGGAGATAGGGAAACTGAGAGCCAGAGACTGACTGACATGCTGAAGATCACACAGCTAGAAAATATTGCAGGCAAGAACTAAAGCAAATTTACCTGACTACCAGTCCAGCGTTCTATTTCTGTACCCGCAGCCAAATGGGCAACATGCACTTTTTGCAGTGGCCCAAATCTCTGGAGATTCTGCACAGGGAACTAGCATCATGGGAATTTGCTCAGCCTGGTTTTATGGAGGCTGTCTCCCAGATCTATAAGCTCCAATTCTAAAATGGCTTCAACATAACACCAGCACTGCATGATGGGAAACGAACAGATGATTACAGGGTAGGAGCCATGCTCTACGGGCTGACAGTCCATAAATATTTGCTCCTGATGAATGAGGATATTCAATCTGAAAACTAGGTGTGTGGCCTAGGCCAAATCACCTCATTTCTCATAAAGACCTCATCTGTAAGATGGGTGAATGGATCCTTATCTCATTGAAGGGAGGGAGAGAGGAATAATTCAGCAGTTGCTACTGGATTATTAGCCTTCCATTTTGAAAGCCATGCTCAAAATTGTAACTGAGGTCCAGTACAACAGACAGGTTTTTTAACACTCACTATGCTATGTGCTGCTAAGAACATGGATCCCAAAAAAATGAGGCCTCACACAACTGAGCTAGTCCTAATAAGTGGGGAGCATTGGACACAGTAAAGAAATTCACTAAAAACCAAGTAATAATGCCTGTACATTTCCGACAATGAAATGCAAAACAGAGTAGCCTGTGTCCAGTTTCATAAACTGCCTATGTGTGTGGTCTCATATGAACAACTGAGACAGTGACAAATGCACACAATTTTCATATTCTTTCAAGTCCTTCACCTTTCTGTTTTGGCTCCTATGGTGGGCTGATTCTAACATCATCTTGCCAAATTCCATCTCCCACACAGAGGGCAAGTAAAACTGGTCTGATGATACCTAGCTTTACCAAAGAGAAATGCAGTGAAGGCAAGGAAGGCCATGAAACATGCGTTTTTACAGGAAGGTTGGCAAATTGTCTTATCGATGCTGCCACCACCTTTGAAAATCCTATTCCATGCGGATTCTCCATTTGCAACAAAGCTGTACGAAGAAAAGGGGTCTAAATCATTCCCACCCCTTCCTCAGTACCACAGACGCCACTAAGGCAGATTTCAAATTAAAAAAACGTGCTAGCACCCAGTATGGGGGAATTTGGGACAAGGAGACAAAAGATCCTAGCATTAAATGACAGTAAATATCGTGGGAAGATGCGCCAATCTTTGGCGTCTGATTTCCCCCCCCCTGGGGATCCGGCCTGACTCAGAAACCGGTTCCAACAAATGCATTTTCTGAATTCAAACCTCAACCCTGTTCTTCCCAGGGAAATCTCGGGTCCTGCCAGGCTCCGTAACTGGTGAACGATGATGAAATGGCTTTACTGCAAAGTGGGAGGGGGTCCTTCCACTCGCTGTCTCCCAAGGTTAAACCCCTTACTCATCCAGGGGACTCGAGAACCTGCACGGGGAGCTCTAGAGCTCGCTCGCGCTAATTTGTAGAAACCGGAAAGCACGAAGCAGGGGTGACAGGGCTGAAGAGGATGGATGGTTCTCGTCTACCAAGCAGCAGGGAGGGGTCGCGCGGAGATCGAGCTAGGTAGTGATCTGGCGTCCATCGCTCGACTGTTCCTTCCGGCACAGCACCGAGGCGCACCCCGCCCGCCGGGCAGGGCTGTAGGCCGGACCGAGGAGGCCGCGCGCCACTACTCCCCGGGGTCCACCCGCAGAGCCGCAGACATCGCCGCCACCAGCGGGGAGCTTCGGCTTGGGCCCCCGGGGGCCCTGGGCGGACCCTGTGCCGCACTCACCGTGGGAGCTCCACTTCCGCTCCGGACACCACTTCCGCTCCTGCCCAAACCCCGCCCCAAGTCCCGCCCCGCCCTGCTCCGTCTCCTCATTGGAGGAGCGGGGCCACGGGGTCGCCCCGGCCTTCCGGGAGGGGCGTTGTAGGTACCGAGGGGGAAGAAGAGCGGAGGGCAGGGATGCAGTCGCCGCAGGCGGGCGTAGGTCTACGGAGGGGAGCGAGGAGGGGGCGGGTGAAATGGAAGCCAGCGAGGTTGGGAAGTGGGAAGAGGAGGTGAGAGGGCGGAGCTGGAGGTGGTGGTCGAGAAATGGGATGTGTGGGGAACTGTACCGGGAGAGAGGTTTGGGGTGGGGGTTGTCTTCTCAGTTCAGGCGGGGAACTCGCCTTGGCCAGGGTCCGAGAATCTGAGGGTCATAGGTTCCCGCCCCGAAAGTACACTCAGTGGATTTGGAGGCTCAGTCAGTCCCCGTTTACTATGTGTTTTGGGAATACTGGTCCCAGGGAAGGATGGAAATTGTTCATCTCTAAATTTTTTACAAATTCTTCCTGCTATCCTTCAGGGTACTTCCTATATCCACCCTTCATAGACTGGCGAGGCCAACTGAAGTGCCAGAAATCTAATGCACTGAGGTCTTTTAAAACCTGTGTGCACGATTTCTTCATTGAGTTACCCCCAGTCCAAGGCAGGGGAAGATGCTTCAGGGAGGGACAGAGACCTCCATGGCTCCCACCCACCCACAAGACAGTTGTTCCCTTGACCAGCATTCTACTCCCTCCAAGTCAGTTGACTTTTATTCCCAGCCCTTCAAAATGCCTCCCCCTCCACTCCCTCTCATTCATTCTTTCAGCGAATAATGAGCAGGCTTTCTGGTTAGCCCGGAAACAGCAATGAACAAAACAGATGGGGCCCTGCTGTCTTGGAGCTTACAATCTGGTAAGAGCAAGAACAAAGGGACTAAGCCTTTGTCATCTTCCCTTTGGCCTTATCAGTTGCTTAATGATATACTTCTAATTCCTCACCCTACCCTCAGTCCTAACCCTATAGGCTGCCAAAGTGATCTTTGAAAAAAATGCCATTTTAATCTCATATTTGCTTAAATTTTTTGGTGCCTCCCTCAGGCCCAGAAGACAATATGTATGTTCCTTAAGTGTGACAAGTAGGGTTCTCCAAAACTACCTTTGCCTACTATTTCTCCTCCATCATAAATACCACAATTTAATTGAGATATTTGAGGATGACTCCTCATCCTCCTAATATGTCATTTCCAGTATGATTTAGTTTTCAGCGTTTTTTTTTTTCTTTGCACTTGCAGGAGGTGGGGGGAAGAGTGAGAAATCATCTAGGAGATGGCCTCACTGCTATTTCTTCTCCATTCTCTTGGGATTTGGGGCGCATGCACACACACCAAGAATACTTTTCAAGCTGCTGGGTCCAGAACTTGAACCACATAGTCAGACATGTGGGATTCAGCTCCATGCCATCTAATAGCCAGCTAACTTTTTTTTTTTTTAATTCAGGAATATCTGTGTAAACAGAATTCTTCATTTCTTAATTCAGTGAGGTGGCGTGGGGCTAAGGTGGATGGATCCCACAGGACTGACTGTGTGGTTTGAGTCCCTTTTCTCATTTATGTTACCAATCATACAGGCATTTATGCCAGTGGTCCCCGTACGACCTGTCACATGTCCTGGACTGTGCATTATACCACTTTTGAACTTAAACAAGATTGACAGTATTGTACACAGTAAACACGGATCTGAGTCAAAACCACTGGATTTGAACCCTGGAGAGAGTTCCAAAGTTTTTCCATGGGAATCCATCTTTGGAATACTAATATCCAGAGACTGCTCAGGGTGATGTAAGTTTTAACATGACATGACCGTGCCTTGTGCCCTTATCCAGAAAATAGCGTAGTGGGTCAGAGAGTTCAATGATTACTGCATAAATGACATCATCAGTGCATCGAAGGAACAGAAGTGCCCTTTGTCAGACATGGGTCAGCCCCTTTCACCAGCTCTGCATACTAGGCCAGGAGTCAGCAAATCACAGCATAGCAAACAGAAATGAAGCGCTATTAAAGTATAATGTGGTAGATGAAACCATATGAACATGCACAGGGTATAATGGGAGCTTGAGAGGAGGGTACATAACCCATTTTAGGAGTGTGGTGAGAAAGTTGGAAAGATCCTGAAAGAGAGAGTATTTGAGTCTTAGATTTCGCAGGTTTTCTTTTTTTTAATTAATAGATTTTATTTTGTATTTCATAAATAATTATTTATTATCTTCATTTTCATTTGGTATAGAACACGTGTACTCACCAGAGATAGAGCACCTTAACCACCATGCTATCTCCTGGCACCTAGATTTTATTTTTTAAAAAGCAGCTGTGGGGCCAGCAGGCATAAAGGTTAAGGCACTGGACTCCCACGTAGTTGATCGTGGTTGGAATCCTGGACCCAGTGGCTTTAAACACGCTGGTATACGTGCATCCCAACAATCTTGAGAGGAGAATGGAAAAGGGATTGTGGCATGACTGTCCCCCTGGGGGACTTTGGGCACGTGCACACACGTGGGGAGATGGTTTCTCACTTTTTGTCTCTCTGTCTCTCTGCTGAGCCCACATGCCCTGTAGCAAAAATCTCTCAAAAAAGAAAAAAAAAAAGTAGTTGTAAGTATACAGAAAAATTGACCAAGTATTACAAAGAATTATATTCCCCTCTTCTTCCAAGCACAACTTTCCCTATTATTAACCTCTTGTATTACTGTGATACATTTGTTACAACTGATGAGCTAATATTAGTATATGATTATTAACTAAAGCCCACAGTTTACATTAAGGTTTTTTCTTTGTGTTGTACAATTCTATGAGTTTTGAAAAATGTGTAATATCATGTTTCTAATGTGAAAACATACAGAAGAATTTCACTGCACTAAAAACTCACCACGCTTCAACTGTTCATTTCCTATTCCTTTCTCTAACCCGTAACCTTGGCAACCTCTGAGTTTGTTTGCTTGTTTGTTTGTTTTAGGTTTTCACCATAGGACATTTGTGTTTGCTGGAGAGAGCCAGGCAGAGAGAGGGAAAGTGAGAAGCCCACCCACCCCCATCCAGGGTAATGACCATGCCACAATCCCATCTTCTCTATTCTCTCAGGATCTTGGGCAGACATACACGCACTCCCGGTGTGATATTCAAGCTGCCAGGTCTGGGACCCTAATTGCAGTTGGCAGTGTGGGAGTTCACCTTAACCACTATGTTACCTGCTGGCCCCATCCACTGAATTTTTTACATTCTATAGATTTGCCTTTTCCAGAATGTCATCTAGTGGTGTAATACATTGTGTAGCCTTTTCTGACTGGATTCTTTTCACTAAGCAATATGACTTGACATTCTTTAATGGCATTTTATGGCTTAGTAGGGCATTTCTTTTTATCACTGAATGTTAGTCCCTAGTTTGTTTATACATTAACCTGTTCAATGGATTGACTTGTATCCTCCAAAAAGATGTGTTGAAGTCCTAACCCTTGGTATCTGTGAATGTGACTTTATTTAGAGATGGGTTCTTGTGTGAGGGTGGCCCTATGGCTTACTGGTTAAGGAGCTGGACCCCAAATGGCCAACTATGTAGTTCAGTCCCAGCGTTATGGGCCTGAAAAACACATTGGGCATATGTGCTCAAAATCCCAACAGGATGGAGAAATGGAAGAGAAGGGATTGTGAAATGACCACACTCCATGGGAGGGGGGGAGTGCTTTCTGCCTTTCCCTCTATCTCTTGGTCTCTCTGCACACCCCTCTGGTAAGTTAAAACAAAAGTGGGGGGAGTCTTTGCAGACATAATGAAGTTAAGATGAGGTCATTAGAGTAGGTGCTAAGATGTCCATACGAAGGAGGAAAATGCCATGTAGTGTCAGAGACACACATGAGAAATGCCATGTGACAATAGGGGCACAGCTGCCAGCCAAGGAGGACCATGGATAGATAGCCACCATTAGAAGCTAGGAAGAGGCACGGAAGGAGTCTTCTCAGAGTCTCAGTGGGAGGATGGCTCCCTGGCACCTTGACTTCAGACTTCTAGCCTCCAGAATTGTGAGAGAATAAATGTCTGTGGTTTAAGCTGCTGGAGTGGCGTGGTGGCTAAGGGTGCTGGACTCCCACATAGCTGCCTGCAGTTCAAGTCCCAGAACTGGCAGCTTGCTTTCTCACTCCCACCCACCACCCTGCTCTCACTCTGTCCCTCTCTGGTCAAATTGAAATGAATGAATGAATAAATAAAGTTAAATTTTAAAAATTCTTAAAAAAAAAACAAAAGGATTTTGTTAGCTTTGTAAGAAACTACCACACTGGGCCAGCTGGGGTCATGGTGGTTAGGTAGCTGGATCCCAGATGGCAAACTATACAAATTCCTGGACCCTGCAGCTTGAAAAACATGCCAGGCCCATGTGTGTGTGACCAAAATCCCGAGAGGAGTGTGGAGGAGAAGGGATTGTGGTGTGGCCACTCCCCTCCCCTGGTACTTTCTCACTTTCCCTTTCTGTCTCCTCTCTCCTGCAAGCACAGTAGTCTATAGCAAATTTTTTTAAAAAAAGAAATGACCGAGCTATCTTCTGAAATGGCTGTACCATTTTGTATTCCTTCTCCAATGAAATAGAGTTCCTATTGCTCCACACTTGAGGCAGCATCTGCTGTAGTCAGGTTTTCATTTTTTTTTTTCCCTGATTTTTGACATGTGATTATATGTGTAATGATATTTCATTATTGTGTTAATTTGTAATTCCCTAATGACATATAATGTGTTGAGCATCTTTTCATATGCTTATTTTTTGTTGTTGTCAGAGGCCATGTGCATGCACTACCTGGGGAGAAAAAGAGAAGATAGAGAGAAAGCATCCCCCAATGGGGCCTGGTCATACCACAATCCTTTTTCCCCCATACCTCTCTCCCATCGGGATTTTGAGAACACAATTCCTGGTGTGTTTTTCAAGCCACCCAGGGTCAGGACTTTTAAGTTACAGTGGGTCATGTGGGCTCCTGCTCCCTAAACCATGAGTGACAGGGCTGGCCCTTCATGTACTTACTTGCCATCTTCTTCCTTAGTGAGTTGTCTGAGTTTTTTGCTCATTTTTTTAACTGGGTTGTTTGCTTTATTATTATTGAGTTTTCATTGTCCTTGTGTTGTCTTTATTTTTTAATTTGCCAGAGGGTATATGTGCTCACCAGAGGGACAGAAAGAAAAGTAAGAAAGCATCTCCCATTGGGCATGGCCTCACGGCAATTCCGTCTCCATTTCTCCCTCCTTTCAGGATTTTGGGCACACATGCACCAGCTGGCCTGTTATTATTGAGTTTTAGTATTTTAAATACCAGTCCTTAATCAGATATGTGATTTGTAAAGATTTCTTGCAGTCTCTAGATTGTCTTTTACTCTCTTAGTAATGGCTTTTTAGAGTAGGAACTTTTAATTTTTTTTTTTTGAGAGGTTTTTGCTATAGGGCGCGTGCGCTCGCCAGACAGACAGAGAGAGACATAGAGACAGCGAGAAATCACCCCCCAGGGGGGATGGTCACACCACAATCCCTTCTCCTCCATTCTCCTCTCGGGATCTTGGGCACGCACGCACACGCGCCTGGTGTGAGTTTTAAGCCACCGGGTCTGGGACGCGAACCGCAGTCAACTACATGGGAGTCCAGTGACATAGCCATTATGCTAACTGCTGGTTCCCAGGAACTTTTAATTTTAATAAAGTCTCACTTACCAATTTTTCTTTTCTTTAGAGAGATTTTTGCTATAGGGCACATGTGTTTGCCAGCAAGACAGAAAGTGAAAAATCACTCCTGGGGGGGGGGATGGCCACACTGCAGTCTCTTTAAGCCACGGGGTCCGGGACGCGAACCACGGTCGACTACGTGGGAGTCCAGTGACATAGCCATTACA